CGTGGAGGGTATCGATGGATCGCAACGGGCCTGCGTGGGATTGCCAGTGCAGATTTCGAAGGGGGAGACGCGGGACCAGTCCCGGGGCTATGAGCTTGTAGACATCGTGGGGATCGAAGTACTCGACTGTAAAGCGCATTCGCGCGCAAGCCGTTAGCTGGGAGCCCTCTCTGTCTCTTTCTCTCGATTTGTGCGACGGACACGTTGCACAGGGATTGAGGGGACATACCAGTGACTTTGGAGGTTGAAAAAGGCCGTTCCATCTTGAACGGCTCCTCCAGCTGAGGCGACAATTACATGTTCCGTTGCGACGGCAGGGCTCAATGGCGGGCGAGGTTGGCGCGGTGTTGTCTGCGTGTCCGAATGGTGATCCGTGTTGGACGGCTAAGGTAGGTCAGTGAAGCTACGGTGGAGCTTCCGTCGCAACGGACGGCGTGGACGGTGCAGGGGTGTGTACGCGAGGTGCGCCGGCCGGTAAGGTAGCAACCGTTTCGGCGGATCCCTGTCGCGGGGCTCAGGGGGTCCCAGTGCAAGCTTCCCAGAGCAGTGTTCTTCACCTCGATGCTCCGATGATCCGCCGAGGGCGGTGAGATGCCACCTGGACGATCGATTGGCTGAAAATGATGCCGCCAAAGTGTGCTAATGGAGGGGCACGGCAGAATTTTGTGAGGTGAGCTGGGCTGGTTGTCGGAACCCCTCCAGCCCAGCCCAACCTTACGTCCCATTTTGGAGTACATAGAGTCAATTTGCGCCCGCTTGCTTGCGTGTTGTTTGCTGCTTACTTTTCAAAAGCATCTTTACCCAGTATACGCAGCAACATGTCCGGATTGCAAGCCGTCAAGTACACCCGCGGCCGCCTCGAGGTCCTCGATCAGCTGAGACTGCCCCATGAGTTTCACTACGATGATGTCTCGACCAGCGAGGAGGCCTTCGACTGCATCAAATCCATGAGGGTCCGTGGTGCCCCGGCCATTGCTATCGTCGCGGCTCTCGCCCATGCCGTTGAGCTTCACAATGGAAGCTGCACCGCCTCGTCCGCTCAGGATACCGTCTCTTACATCGACTCTCGTCTGGACCACCTCAAGGAGAGCAGGCCTACTGCGGTTGACCTGACCAACGCCATCCTCCAGCTGAAAGCCTGCATTCGCAGCGCCTCGCAAGACGACCCCAAGACCATCATCACTGCCTACATCGAAGAGGCCGAGAAGATCTTGGAGAAGGACCTCCAGACCAACCTCGCCATCGGCAAGCATGGATCTGAGTGGCTGCAGGAGAAGGCCGGCGCCTCAACCGAGAAGCAGATCTCGGTCCTCACGCACTGCAACACCGGGTCCCTGGCTACATCCGGCCACGGCACCGCGCTTGGCATCATCAGGACCCTCTTCTCCAACAATCTTCTCCAGCACGCCTTCTGCACCGAGACAAGGCCTTATAACCAGGGCAGCAGACTGACGGCTTTTGAGTTGGTCTACGAGGGAATCCCCAGCACTTTGATCACCGATTCCATGGCCACGGCCCTGTTCGAGTTGAAGAAGAAGGAGAAGAACATCGCCGCCATTATCGTCGGCGCTGACCGAGTAGCCCGTAACGGTGATACGGCCAACAAGATCGGCACCTACCAGCTCGCTGTTGTCGCCAGATATCACGGAGTCAAGTTTATTGTTGCAGCCCCGACCACGAGTATCGACTTGGCGACGGCGACCGGCAAAGACATCAAGATTGAAGAGCGCAAGGGAGATGAGTTGACGCAAATAACCGGCGCCGTCGTCAACGCTGACGGTACCGTTGATACTTCACGGACAGCCCGCGTGGCTACGGCCGATCAGCGCGTCGGCGTTTGGAACCCGGCCTTTGACGTGACTCCTGCCAGTCTCATCGATGCAATTGTCACGGAAAGGGGCGTTGCGGAGTCGGACCAGGACAAGATTGACCTCCGCAGGGTTATGCAGAAGGAGTGGGAGAAGATTGTGGGACCAGTAGATCTATAGATATGCAGTCCTGGTGATTACAAAGATTATTGCGGTCAATGAATCCAAGTGGACTACTTGAGGGCGTGAAGGATCAGCTTCTGGAATCCCGTAACTGCCCCTTCGAGGTCGGCGACAGTGAGATTCTCGTTGCGCCCGTGGGCGACCAGAATGGTGCCAGGCCCGTACAAGTAGCGCGTGTGCGAGCCCTTCAAGTTGGGGATGTCAGTGCCATAGTTGGCGACTATCGTCTCGAAGCCTACAGGTCGTGTTAGCTGACAGTGGGATGAAAGTACAAGGTTGCTGCCACAGACCTTCAACATCGCAGTTGGCCTCGACGACACCGTATCCGTGCGTGCAAGTCAACTCCAAGTCCTCTGCGTCAGTCTCGTCAAGAATCTTCTGGATCTTGCCCTTGACGATGTTTCCGCCGTCCGCCTCTGGGCCAATAGCAACGCGCACGGCGATGCGAGCGAGGGAGGCCTCTGGAATGACATTCTGGGCAATACCACCGATGATCTGGCCGACGTTGACAGTGGTGTTTCCCCATTTCTCGCTGCTTCCGAGGTCGGTAGAGATGATCTTGGCGAGGGCCTTAACCATGATCTCGTTAGCAGACTTGCCCAACCAGGGGTATCCCGAGTGGCCGGCAATGCCCTTGGCCGTGATATCGCAGAAGACACCGCCCTTGTGGCCGCACGCCAGCTTGGACTCGGTTGGCTCTCCAAAAATGACGGATTCAAACTCCAGGCGGGGTTCAGTCTCCTGGAGAGAGTCGGAGAAGAAGCGCATGCCATCACCAGTGTCCTCCTCGCCAACGACGAACAGGAGCATCACATCCTCCTCCTTGACCTTGTCCTCGCTCAAGAGGTCTTCGAGGGCGATGATCTGAGCAGCGACACTAGCCTTTGCATCGACGCTTCCGCGGCCGCTGATGCGAGTCTCGGAGGTGATCTTCTCGTCAGAAATACTGTAAGGGATGTGAGGCGGCACGACGTCGTAGTGAGACGTCACAACGATACGAGGCTTAGGCTGGCGCTCGTTCGATTTCCAGGCGAGGACATTGAAGCGCGGGGTCTCATTGTTGTCCTTGTTGCGCGGGGGCAGAAACTGAAGATGAGAGATGTAGCCCCGGCCGGTGAGATAGTCGACGAGGAACTTGCCGGCCTCGCTCTCGTTGCCCGAAATTGAGGGAATCTCGATGAGAGAGCGGTGCAGAGAAATGAGGTCGTTGCGCCAAGAAGGTGCTGCATCGGACGTGGCCTCCGTGGCGGCTGCCGGGCCGTGAGGCGTGGGCGGAGCAGAACCGGAGCCGAGAGGTTGCTGGATGCGGGAGGTGGCAGCCAGCCGGAGGAGGGCGGCAACGGCCAGGAGGTTTGGGATGTGCATCGCTTCCGGCGGCGGCGTTTTCAAGATTGAGATAGACGAGACTCAATTGGTGTAAAAGAAAGTAGTGCGCCTTCAATGACGGGCGTGGAAGGTTTCTTTCCACTGGCTCTGGCAATGATAAGAGCACGACACCACGTCCAAGAGGGAAAGACTGGAGACCGGACAGCTGCAAACGGAGCGGTGTCGGAAGGAGAGGGTCGCAGCGGGAGCTCAGTGGACGGAAACAATTCCCCGCGGGAAGCAATGAGGTCATTCCAGTCAGCTCTGCCGCCATTGGATCCAGCCACATGCACGGACTCTGGAGCTATCTCCTCCACCTACCTTACCTAAGGTAAGGTAAGGTAAGGTAAGGTAACCTTAGTGTGGCTCGACGTGGCATGCGCGCACCAGCCACCCCCATACTGCCGCATGTTCATGCAGCGACCCGAGCTTCGTCTGCTTTGTCCACCACGTCCGAGATGCTACCTCGACGGAGCCCAAGGAGCATATTGCTTGCAGTGGAGGGCGTCTGTGATGGAAGGAAAATGCCCGAGGCCTCGGTGGGGGGCCAAGCACCTGGATGGATGAGGTGGACTCCCGTCTTGTCAATCTGACTCCCGGTTGTTTCAACAATTGCTCGGCTTCTGACAAAACATGCGTCGCCGTTGACTTTCGCAACCCGAGATGCATCTGGAAGGATGCACGGATAGTTCGTTATTTGTGACACTAACCAGAGCATGCTGTTCATCTCTGCATCTGAAGTCGCCCGTGTGTTGCTGCACGCCCGAGGTCAGCCTGCCGTAGCCAAATCAGCTGCTGCACGCTGTCCCCAGGTTGTAGGAATGCATCCAGACTACCTAGCACTCTAGGTGAGGTATTCGGTGTCTTCCCCAGACCACCCAGACTGCTGCGGATCATGGTACTGGAATTCTGATGGCCTGTCCATTGCCGGTCACTGAAAATCTCACAAATGATTGCGGTGTTTCCCCCTTCCACTGCAGGCGGCCAGTGGCGGCTCACCACCTTGGACCTTGCACCCTTTTCCCACCTGGGCCTCTACTGCGACCGAGTGACGGAGCACAAGAGCTGAGGTACAAAGTACCTGTGACACCTGGTCCCTGTCCGCCTCGCCTTAGCTGACGGGGACGCAAGTTGACTGGACTGACAGCACGTTCTCCGACCTCCCGTCCCCACTGCGGTGACCGGGTCCGTTCGTGAATGCAGCAGACGGGCTGCCACCAACGCAAGGCGGAGGTACCTACCTACCTGCTGCACCTTTACGTTAGCAGCACCTCGACACTACCTGAGGTAAACTTCACAGTGCTCTTCCCCCAGGTATTCGTCACGTCCCACCGTCACGACCGACGACCCTGAACTGTTCCCGACGACAGCTTCAATTGCACCTCCACACCCCCTGCGACTGGGCCTTTCTCGACGCGTATCCTGCTCGACATCACCTCCTCTTTGCATCGCCACGCTGTTGCATGCACCTTGCTCCTGTTGCGCGCCGCTATTCGCCCACGAGAAGCCGTACTCATCATCCCCCTTCACGCCGACCGGACCAGACCCCGACCCCGAGTTGCTCTCCGTCCTGCCCGAGACCGCCGACCACGCCGAGCTTCGCTTCGGTCGGCCTTGACCTGACAGTCATCGCCAGACGGAGGGATGCAGGCGAATAGAGGGAATGCTGAGGCCCTGGGTCGAAAGGCCAAGGTGCGTTGCCTCCTGTCCCTATACCCTTCTCCCATGCTCGCGCCTCTGTCCTCGACTACCCATCAGCCCATGACGAGCCCCTGAGCAGAGCATTCGATCGCTCTGCGACACGTTTACATTGATAAGCACTTGGGATCAGTATGCTAATGTCATGCTAGCTTGCTCGCTCGTACCAGGAGCTTCTTGAGTAAGTCTTAACCATGACTTCCTTCCCATGACACTTGCCTTGTACTAACCAGCGATTTCTCTCCCAGCGAGTTTGCCAACAAGGATCTAAGCTCTGTCGGCAACTACACCCTCGGGCGCTTGATTGGAAAAGGCTCCTTCGGCAAAGTCTACTTGGCCACCCACAAGCTTACCAATGGCTCCAAGGCATGCCTACCACTTTCGTCTGGATGGGGCGATATCCGAAGCCACCGTTGCTGACATGACTCTGCGTAGGTCGTTCTCAAGTCTGCGAATAAAGGCGATTCGAACCTTGCCCGAGAAATCCACCACCACCGACAATTCGTCCATCCTCACATCGCCCGACTCTACGAAGTCATTGTTACCGAAAACTTGGTCTGGCTCGTGTTGGAATACTGCGCTGGTAGGTTTGCATTCGGCCTTATGAAGATGCAAAAATACTTACCAAACCGTGACAGGCGATGAACTCTACAACTATCTCCTCGAGCATGGCCCGCTGCCTGTTCACAAAGTCCAAAAGATCTTTGCCCAGCTCGTGGGCGCCGTCTCCTACGTACACCAGCAGTCATGCGTCCACCGCGATCTGAAACTCGAGAACATCCTGTTCGATAAACACGAGAATGTAAAGCTGGTGGATTTTGGCTTTACGAGAGAGTACGAGGGCAAGTCCAACCACTTGCAGACGTTTTGCGGCACGATTTGCTACTCAGCACCCGAGATGCTCAAGGGCGAGAAGTACGCGGGAGAAAAGGTTGATGTTTGGAGTCTCGGCGTCATTTTGTACGCCTTGCTTTGCGGAGAGCTGCCCTTCGACGATGACGACGACAACGTTACACGGACGAAAATTCTTAGCGAGGAGCCAAAGTTCCCCGAGCACCTGCCCTTGGCTGCGATACCTTTGATCAAGTCGCTCCTATCGAAACGGCCATTGCTCCGACCCTCGCTTCCGGAAATCCTGTCGAACCCTTTTCTTGCCGAGCATGCTCCGGCTCAGCACGCAATTCTTAAGCTCACGAGACCGCCGCCATTCGCGACCGTTTTGGAGAAGGAAACTCTGCAGCGCATGCGTAGCGCAGGCGTCGACATCGATTCGGTAATCGAAAGTGTTCTTGCTCAACGATGCGACGCTTTGGCTGGCTGGTGGACCTTGCTTATCGAGAAGGAGGAGCGGAAAGTGCGCAGAAGGGAGAGAAAGCGTCGCGAGCGAGAAGCTGAGAACAGGAGTTTGCGCCGCCTATCCGCTGCGTCTAGCAGGCTTGACCGGATTGCGCCTGTTCTTCAGGAAGTTGACGAGGATGGTGGACTGACGAATCGTTTCATCAGGCTCGAAGACGCGCCTATAACGCCGAGGACCAGGGGCCGCTCAGAAAGGAGAAGCGCACATTACTCTGACTTCAATGACCTGCCAGGTCTTCCAGAGCACACCAAGGAGAATGGAAGTCCAAACACGGAGGAACCTCCGCCTCCCATCGACAAGGACTCTATCCGGTCTGCCAGTACGTCTAGAAATCGTCGCCCGGTGCCGCCCCCTAAGGAAGGGCACATCCGGAGCGCGAGATCTCGGGGTTCGACCCTTCACCTCGTGACCACGTCGGAGGCTTTGGCGGCTAACGGAACGCCAGAGCGACCTGCCGAGCAGCAAAAGGTTCGAAAGAAGCCTTCTCAAGCCATCATTGCGCACTGGAAGAACTGGACGCACTGGTTCTTTGAGAACACTCGTAGGGGTAGACATGCGAACAAGCGGGGCAGCCACTCCACGCCGAATCTGGTCGACAAGAACGGCGGCACGGGTGGCAGTAGCAAGCACTCCAAGGATACGAGCCCGCGGCCTCAGACGAGTCGGCAGCCGACTGCCGACGGCGCCGTAGCACAGGCCAAGGCCGGACTTCCTCGTGGTGTAGTGGCTAACGGTCATGCGAATAAGGCGCTGCCTGGACAGAGAGGGTCTGGCAACTTTAGCAGCAGCCCAGCATCAACTAGCACTGTTACGCCTGGGCACTATCCCTCGCGTATCACGACGTCGTACAAACGACAATCATTATCCCCATCTCCCATGACACCTCGATCGACTATGCGTCGCTCCTCGGCAGGACTGCGGGGTCGCAAATCCACATCTTCATCCGTTTCATCCATACGTTCTATGCCCCATCATCACCACTCTCACTCCAAAGCTTCGTCGACGAGCTCAAACGGCTCTGTATCAACCAAGAACACGCTAGGGCGCGGACAGTCACCCCATCATTCGTCTGTGAAGGTTCTGCCGGCTACTCCAACGTCCACAGCGTTCCCCTCCAACATTCGTCTCGTACGAGGGCCCGGTCCCCCGGCTCCTCTTGCCCTCTTCAACGAGGGCATGCCGTCCGCCTCAGCGGGAATGCAAGCTCCGGGCTCGCCAAATCCATTCGCTCAGGGAGGTGGGATTCTGTTTGCAAAGCGGAAGCGAAACATCTTCAAGGGCCCCATGTTGGCCTTTGGCGGAGCGAACGCCAGCGGCAGCACCACCAGAAGCACAAGTTCCAGCCACTCAAGAAGCGCAAGCGCATCCGGTATGGGACGCAGGTCTGGCGAAGCACCAATTCAGGAAGAGGAAGAGGGCGAGGAGGCCGAGGAAGAGGTTGAGGAAGTGGATGCCTTCAGCCCCGTTGTCGGTGGGCCTGGGGAGCGCATCGAAGAGCGAATCTATGAGGAAGGCGAGACTCCGATCGAGATACCTTCGCAAACTCAGGCCGGGTCAAAGTCAGCAGATGACGTGCCCCCTAAAACGCCCAAAACGCCCATTACTCCCATCACTCCCCAGACAGCGATCCCTCCGACGATCCCGACATGAACGAAGAAATTCCCTATTATTATCTGTTTACCCTTCTCAAGCGCACTTTTGAAAAAATACCAGTCTGGAATTTTGTTTTGTTGCGACTCCCACTATACAGGTCCGAGTGGAATGGGCCGAGGCAAAAGCTCTCTCTTATTGTTATTTTCTGTATATTTCCCCTTCGGCGCCATGTACCATACTTAGAGAGGATACCTTGTACTAAACAGAGGGTGCTGATGCTTTTGCAATTGAAAAGAAGGATTCAAGCCAACGCCACATGTCTCGTCAAATGCCATGTTCTATGTCTCGTCTGTCTACTACGCCCTTCTTGCCTTGGCTACCTCATCCAGGCCTTGCCTAGCAGCTACGATCTTCTCAACCGTCTCGTTGGTTGCGCATAATGACGCATCAAAGGGTTTGAGTGTAGAGTCTCCCATGGTCGCCAACGCGGCCAGACCTAGGTATCCATGGTAAATATCAGGTGGGCCTCCTGGGTACTTTGAGAATCCACCGATCAGATGTTGTGTCTTGCTCATAAGGAAGCGGCGCGAGGGTACCTCATCAATGAGATCAACGTGGCCCAGCATCTGCATCTTGTTAGTCCTGTTCACTGACCCCATCAAGACGCCTCCTTACCTGCAGTGTCCCTCCAACCCACCAGCAGTAACACGTATCCGCAACCTTGTTACACCGTCCGTTGAAGCCAACGAATCGCGTGTTCTCGTCCAGCGTAAGCTGCCCCAGCGTGTCGGGCAGGACGAAGTTGGGATCATCCTCCTCGTCTTCCTCCTTTTCAAAGTAGTCGAACTGGCGGTAGACGAGGAACTTGACCAGCAGCTCCACGTCAGCGAGGCCCTTCTCGACGGTTGCACTCCGGTGCGGGGTGGCTCCCTGCGACGGGGGGCGGTCGAGGAGGTAGAGCGCGCTCACGGCGCAGTAAGCGTATCCAGCTGCACATTCCAAGTCAGCACACCGCCAGCCAAAGATTCTGTACGAATTGCAACGTACCGTGCGATTCAAGCTGCGAGCTCTCGGCAAGCCCGCCGTCATATGTCTGGCTGCGTCGAATATGCCCGACCATCGCGTCGACGTCAATGTCCTCAACCCAATCCGCGTCCCCCTCCTTCATATCGCCTCTCAACATCCACCGCGTCGCGGCAGCGAGATAGCAAAGCCGCATGTCCCGCCCGCCCTCGATCCGCCCGTCATCCAGCACGAGCTCCCCAAAGCTGCCATCAGCTCTCTGCAGCCTCTGCAACCACCGCAGCGTCTTGACCCTGTCGACGCCGGCGTACGCGCTCTTCGCGCCCTCCTGCCCGTCCGCGATTATGGCGAAGATCAGGAGCGCAAAGTACGTCGCGGCGATGTTCGCAGAGCTCGCGTGCCGCGGCCTAGGGGCGCCCTTTTCAAAGTCCCAGCCGGCGCAGACGGCCTTGGGCAGGGCGTGCGTCGGGGAGCCGCAGAAGCCGCCGGCCGGGTGCTGCAGGCCCAGCACGAAGTTGCGCGCGGCGGCGCGGTCCTCGGCGGTGAGGAGGTGTTTGTCGGAGGAGGACGGGGAGAGGATGTCGAGGGCGGCGAGGATGAAGAAGGTCAGGGCGAGGCGGGTGCTGTCGGAGCTGGTGTACTGGTGCGGGAGGAAGGTCTTGTGGCAGCGTTGCCAGTATTTGATGTGGCGCTCCTTTTCGAGCGGGATGGCGGTGTCAGCTGCCATCTTGCGCGGTCGTGATGCACAACAAATTGGGGTTCGTGGTTGCAGATGATGGAACATTCAGCAATCCCATCCCCAAAAGTGCCACGACGAGAACATGCCAGTCCGGGATACCGACGGTACCTACAGAACCCCGCCCCCACCCATCTCAGCTCTCAAAGTCCCTTAGTTCCAGGCGCTAGCAGGGAAGCTGCACCACTGGAAGCCTCGCCCAGCTGTGTGCTGTCAGGCGAATGGGAAGCTGCGCGTCGATAAGCCTCGCAGATGCAGGATTAGCTCGCACATCCACGTCGATAAGACACATGACGGGATGCTTGCTTGGCCGACTTTTTGTCCCACGCGCCGCCGACTGGAACCCCCTTTACCAAGCTGCTTCTTCTTCCTCCTCTCTCCGTCGCAATACTCAATCTAACCCTCAACCTGGACGAACGACCGTCCCAAGAAAATCAGACACCATGGGACTCATTTCGGCAAAGACTCTCATCACCTCGCTCTCCCTATTCCACGTCACCATCGCCTTCTTCTTCCTGACGAACCCGGCCACCATCGCGGACCAGGCTTTGGTCTATGTGCTGGGCGAGGCCATGGGCATGGTGAGTTCCCCTGCCATCCCCTTTCTGTGGCCATGAATGCGTCGTTGGACTGACTTGGAAAACTTGCAGCCCCATGCCCGTAGCTTCGAGAACAAATCTCCCGCCCTGGCTTTCCTCGCTGCCGTCCTCGGCATGATGGGAATTAGCGACCTCGTCACCCTAAGCATGCCCGAAGAGATCTGGGTCGACTTCCACTGGGGAACGCAGGGTACGTTTTGCACAACCTCCTTCCGATCACTGAGCCAGCTAACTGATCGCCTACCCTTAGCTCCCGCCCGCCTCTTCATGTCCCTCGTCTTCGTCGTCTACACCTTCGTGTTTGGCCCGTCCTCGCCCCTCTACGCCAACGCCCGCGGCGCCCGCTTCGCCCACCCCAACGCCCACGCCCACAACCCGAACTACACCCCCTCAACCTGGGGCGGCGACGGCCTCAAGAACCGCGTCTTCCTGACCTTCGCCTTTCTCGAGATGGTGAGCTGGTTCTGGGTCTGGATCACGCTTCGCGAGGAGCAGGAGGCGATTGCGAGGGAGAAGGCTAGGAAGCAGGAGGCGGCGCACCCGGGTGCGTTCTAAAGAGGCAGACGGACGCTGCCACGGGAGGCATTGTGGAGTTGAGAGAGGAGTTATATGCATCAGTGGAGTTGAACGAGGGGCATCACGGAAAGGGATATACCAAGCGAGCACGCACTTGATTGTAAAGAAACGGGTAGCATGCATGACAATTCTTTTGAACTCCTTTGCTTTTTCTGATACCCTGCCGCTCTTTTATATCTATACAAGGTTGGGTACGGATCTCCAAATATCTCAGCTTTTAACTTGAAGGCTACGAATCCCTCAGCGTTGCAACGAGACTTTTCACTCCCACTGCACCATCTCCCATCCCTTGACGTTCGTCCGCCAGCTGTCGGCGACCTTTTGCGTCCACACGCCGACGTGTCCGCCGGCGACCTCGCGGATCTGTTGGGCAAGCTTGTCGCCGTCCTCAGCATCAAAGGTCCACCTACCCAGGCGCGTGCCCAGAGAATCGCTCTCCTTCTTCAGGAACGCCACGCGCGCCTTGCCCTCCTTCAACGCCGTGGCTGCTGCAGCCTCCAGCGTCTTGACATGCGCCATCACGTCCTTGGGGATGTTGCTCTGTCCCGAGCGGTCCCGCTCCTTCTCGCGCTCGTTGAACGCCACGATGTACGACGTCGCGAGCTTCACGGCCGCGGCGGCGTCGCGGAGCACGAAGAGGCCGTGGAGGGAGCCGAGCATCAGCAGCACCTGGGACTCATCCGCCGCCCCGGCAAGGGCCTGCGCGCGGAGGACGTCGAGGCCGGATTTGACGGCGGAGGCGATGCTGGAGAGCAGCTCCGGGGGCGGCGGGGTGCGGCTAGCGGAAACGGCGAGAGGGATCAGGGAGGTGAGGAGGGAGATGATGTCGTAGTACATTTCTTCCTGCTGGGTGAGGTGCGTGCCGCGGGCGTGGAGGAACCTGCTCATGGAGGTGTTGAGGCGTTGCAGCGATTCGAGGATGTAGGTCTGTTCTGCGGCGGCGGCTTGCGCGGCGTTGGTGACCTTGTACGAGGACGGGGCCTTGAAGGAGAGGAGGTCGAAGAAGGTCTCTGCACTGAGGGCTAGGTGGGAGCGGATGTTCTGTATGGAAGTGAGTATGTGGGTTTGGGTGATGGGGAGAGGATGCTTACCGATGGATCGGGCCCGAGGCGCAGGACGTCCCAGATTGGCCTGCTGGTCGATGCTTCCAGGTTGGGCACGGATCCGTAGTCGATGATGTCTCTGAGGACGGTCTCGTCGACAATCTCCTCTGTCCTCATGTGTTAGTGCCATGAAGCCGCAATCAAGGGGTAGATATTCCTTACCAACTGCAGGCTCGTCAAAGACGGAATCACTGCGAACATCCAGGGCTCGCCCGGCTCTCGACTCCTCCACGTACCCCATAACGAGGGTACAGCTTCTACGCAGACGCTCAATGTAGCCAGGAATGTCGAGGATCGCAGTGTAGCTCTCCGAGTCAAAGGCATCGGCCAGTCTCCTGGGCATTCTCAGCTTCAGGGATGTCTGGTAGTGGGCCTTCAGCCCTTGCATCAGGGCCCTTCCGGGGCTGTTGGGCGGCAGGACCAGCGTCGGGGCGACGGTCGACAGGCGGTCGAAGAAGTACGGGCCGAGGGAGTCGATGATTGTGCGCTTCACGTCCGTCGTGTCCCAAACCTCTCGAGCCCGCGACGCACATCCGAGGACGAGGTAGATGCGGACCAACACGAGTGTTAGCCTGGTGTGCTTTGGGGTTCTGGTAAGCTGGTCCTCAATGATGAGGGCCGCTTGGAGGAGGCGATCTTGTCGGCTAGTCTTGGAGATAGAGGTGGGGTTGTCGATGCCGCGCTCATGCAGGCCGCTCAGCCTGACGAGGCAAGTGGCCGCCAGGATGGCGAGTTCTGGTATGCAGTCCAGTGTTTGGCTGATTTCGGAGGAGTTGATGAGGGAGGAGTACAGAGAGAGCGCCGACTCCAGAAGCGTCTTCAAGCAGGCGGTGCAGGATGATGACTTATTGGAAGTAGAGCAGACTATGCACTTCCAGTCATTTCCCTTCTTCGGGTCGTCGTTGGGAATGGGGAAAATCGTCTTTGACGAGGATAGGCCGAGGTACTGCAGCTTGAAAGCCAGCGTTTGTACGGCTGCTGATTTGGAAGCGTCTTCAGTTTCCTTTGCCAAGCGTGAAACATACTCGTAGGCAAGCCCCTTGATATCCTGGGGCGAAAGGCGTTCGGCGAAACCCTTGACATCGTCGAAGCAAGCGGGTGATGTGGATTCAACGTCAATGTAGCGGCATAACTGCTCGAACTCGTTGGACTTTCCATCAGAGGCTGAGTTAGGCTGCGCGAACTGAAAGGCAGCTTCTACCCTAGCCAAGTAGATATTGCGCTTGTAAATAGATCGTATGTTTTCCTGTGCAAGGAAACGATCGATGAGCGAGGACACCTCGGTAGAGACTCTGTGTGTGGGGTCAGCTTCCGTTCAGCACAGGGAAGTAACGATAGTTCATACTCTTGCGCAGATTCTCCTATCCTGCCCGCGGCATTGAGGAACTTCTTCCACACAGCCCAGTCGCACGCCAATAGACTCAGCTGCCCCTTGTCGTCGGTCGTTGACAGGCACTCCTTGCAAAGGTCGTATACTGTCTTCCACTTCTCCTTTCGCTCAAAAACTTCAATTGTCTGCAGGAACAGGTCCTTGCGGCCTGACTTGAGTTGGTATACGGGGTTGAGCGTAGGGCCCTTGAGGGCGGCATCCCACTCCGCATCCGATGCATGAGCCTCCATGATGCGATAGAAAAGGAGGATCTCCTCTTCAGTCTTGATGGCTCGATCAGGGACGTTGCCGTTCTTCTCCGCGCCACTATGCTGTGCAGGAGGTCAGTCGCTGATTGCCGCATTAGGACGGAACCATTACCTGCTCTGCAAACTGCGCCGCGCGCTGCATCTGCTTAAGGGCGAGCATGCCGTAGAGCTGCTTTTTTCCAGCCGGGCATTGGTCGCTGATCTACATTCCTGTCAGAGCTGTCGCGAATCAATGAAGAGATGGCAAATCTGACCGCTAGCAGATGCGTGACGACAATGTTCCAGAACATGAAGCTGCGCTCCGAAGGAAATGACCTGTCCAGAATGGCTGCGATCTATTTGAGTGCATTAGATCGAGTAAGGAGCTGTCGCGAACCCTCAAGACTCACTTGTTGCGCGCTGACGAGGTCCCAGTGCAGCAGACATGACTCCAAACACCTCGTTCCGCCGTTCTTGTCCTTGGGGTTGGCCTTCACGTAACGCAGCTTCAGGGGCCCAAAGGTTTCAGAAAACTCATGGTCCTCAAGCAGTCCCTCGGACGCCCATTCCAACAACTCAAGGGAGTCAGCATCTCTCACGGCGGATGCATCCTTGACGAGCTTCTGCAGGGCGATGAGAGGCGCAGCCTTTTCAAGGGGCGACTCCAAATGGCTCTCTGCGACGATTTTGACGACCTGCGTCGGTATTTAGCTACGCTTTCAAGACCCGTGCGGTGGGTGAGTGTGAGAGAGTCAAACCTCATAGTAGGGATCGTTGAAGGTCCGGAATCGCTTCTCGGCGAGACGGATGACGTTGGCCCATTGTCCGTCGTTGAAGGCGGTCTGCAGCTGCAGATCGACGCCGCTCTTCAGCTGAGGCCGATTCCAGGACATGGTGATGCTTCTGATCGGATGGCGGGGCAGAATTGGCTTTGGAGGGGCACTGTGCACAGAAGGTGCAGCGGAAGCTAAGGGATGTGGGATGCAGGGTGTGATTGGTCCTTCGGGTGAATATTAAGCCGAACACCTTTTCGGTCCCAGAGGCCGGGTCCCGACGGGTCGGGTGCCCGCCGTGTGTCTGGGTCCGGGTCCGGGGATCTGTCCTGGCGGGCTGGTTCCGATCCCACCCTTTGGGTCTTCTGATGCCCGCGCAACCACAAGACCCAAGCCGTCCTTTGACATTTGGGAGTGGAATTTTGTTCGGCGTGACCATATTACTCGTACATCATCAAGACTCCGTCCCATGCATGCATATTTGTTACATAGTGTACAATATCCCGTGCCTGCCAGGTCTTGCGCGGGGGACGGCCGCCATCGCAGAGCGAGACCCTCGAGGTTTCCAAGGGGCACCCGGATAAAATGAAGAATGTTTATATTCACCACCATGCCCCGTTCTTCTTGCGCTCTTCCTTCTTCTTCTCGAACTTTTGTCCTGTCAGCCTCGGTCTCGGTTGCCGGGAAAGGTGGTTGGATAGCACAAACCCATGCTTTTTTGCAATCCCTGTATGCTCTGAGAAGGAAGTATCAGCATGTTGGGTCAATGTAGTAAATGCAGAGCGGGAATCAGAGAGGGCCGTACTGGAAGTAGTCGCCGCACATGGAGCGGTCGCCTCCGTTGCGGTGCAAGCACCTGATGCTCTTCTGGGCAAACTCCTGGCACGGATCAAAATATTCGCTCTTATCCTTGCTATTCCACCAGAGTTAGCAAGCTTCCATTGGAGCATGGACTGTGCAGCAGGCTTACGCATCGAACTTGCGGCTGCTCTCCTTGAAACCCTCGTCGACCTTTTCGACGACGGCCTTTGATGTGTCATCTGAGGACGACATTATTACAGTCGGTTCGTTCTGTGTTCGATGAAACGTCGGAGATTCACTCAGCTCGGTCGAAGGGACCAGTCGCAAAATATCGGTCGTTGTTGCTGCGCTCTTGCGATCGCGACTTGAACTGCGGCGGCAAAAGTTGATGCTGTTGCGATGCGACGACGTAACGATTGAGCACGGGCCTACATCAAGATAAGATAAAGTATTGGTCGATAAGATAAGAGCTCCTTTGGTAAGAAGGAAGGAAAAAACCAGAGTTCCCCGCACGGCCAAGCGAGCGAACCCAACAGGCTGCACAGCACAGGACAGGACAGCACAGGGCGGGCAGCGAGCAGCTGTGGACACAAGCCTCCTTAAGATCCGCCGCTATGATTGACGGATGCTCGCTACGGTTACAGCGCAAGCACGCTACAGGTTCCCCCCAAACTCGACAACGACAACTGCAGCCGACCAAGTCCCAGGTTCTTTCCAGTCCGAGGAGAACCGGATAAAGGTGCCGACCTGGCCGATTTTGCCGACAAATTCAGAGTTTGTCCTCAATAAAGTTTCCATCTGTCTTAACTCTACATTTAAGGTAAAAAGGGGATATCGATGTCAGATCCTCTCTTTTGCATGGTGTTTAAAGAACGCCATCCAACTCTCTTTTGACGTCCTGTCTCTTGTATCTGATTACACAAACACTCATTTCACTCTCTGTCCGTACAGATACCTAGGCCCCAGACACACCACTCGTGCTTGGCATCGGCAAGTCGGTGCCAAGGTCCGAACAGTGGAGAGCATCTGTATGAGAGAGACACCGTCTTCTTTTTCCAGAGGCCCAATCATCGCTAATCTGGCACAATTACGATTCAAGAGGTGCTGTCATTTGCTGACAACCCCCAGTGTCTTAGACGCAAACCCTCCCGCTGGTGTTGGTTGTTGACGACAAGAGATCGTCGCTCAATCACCCACAATACTCAAACTCACTTGCATTTCAACCTGCAGGAAATAGAGCGTCTACAAGTTGTCAGCGCTTAACATCACAGCAACGAGACCTCGCCTGGCCCCCGAAGCCTTACGCAGTAGCACTCGTATTCGTCAGCAGTCGGAAACCACGGGCTCCAGGCTCGCCAACCCGGTCCGCTGGAACAGGAGAGGCAAAATCCCAGCAGCCACCGCCGTCACAATTCACGTCCAACTTCAAACAATTGCGTCCTATCCGCACTCTCACCGCCGCGGCGGACATGAAGCGGGCTGTGAGCGGTGGGCGCGGAGCAGAGATTGCACGCTTTTTCTGCCCGTCTTAGCAAGCATTCACACCACCGGATCGACGGATGATGGATCTGCCAGGTTCTTGCGAAATGAGGCCTTTCTATGCCACCCCCGTCACCCCGAAGCCAAGTTGGTTTTTACTCTCTGGCCCACCGTGTTAGCGAGCAAGTGCTTGCTAAAGCCTGGCCCCCTTCTTCGACATTCTCTCCCCTTTTCTAGCGTCAAATTTAGAAGAACTTCTGCCCTTCACTCGCCCCCGCAACAGGCTGTGCCGCAGCTACGTATCCGTATTTCGTACGCTAGTCTCTTCGCTTGCAATCCTCCTCGGAAGGGGGCGAAGGATCAGGTCGCCTCGGTTCCTTCGACGGCCCTCGGGGGGGCCGTCAGCACTCAGACCTGACCAACGCCCAGCCCTCGTCGCAGACAAACACACAATTACTACCGTGCCGCCGCTTGGTGTTCAGCTCCTACGGTACCGACGACAGTTGGGCCGGGCTACCAGACACTTCGCCGCACCATTCGGGTGGACTTGTCAATCTTGGGCAATTTTGGCAATGGGTGCAATCTGGATGCAACCAAGATGAAGATCATGCGACATGCGATCGTGGGACGACACCACCCCAATATCGTGTTATTGCAACGGGTACCAAGATGGCTATCGAGTCGTCGATGTTGACTGTTGTCTCCATCCCCCATCAGGGTTCTACCATCTTGAAACGGCTCACATGGAATGAACCATAGTCGATGCGGCCTGACAACTAAGCATGCGTAAAGTAACACAGATGGAGACTTCATCAATCTCATCGACATCTTCACAGTTCAATATTGTCAGCTCAGATCAACAAGAGCCCCCAAGGCTGATTCGCCCGCTCGCACCCGGACAATGTGTCCGGCCCCGACGCACTTCCCGTTGCTCAATTTCGTCCTCATTTTGCTGCGTTCCCCTTTTGTACCCCTCCCCTGCTGGCGACGGCCTTCCTGCTGGCCTCCATCGCGGAACGCATACGATTGGAGGAAAGAAAGAAGGTGGTCAACACCGCAATTGAAGGGCGAAACGCGTCCTTACATATGAATGATACGCTCAAGTGAGCGTTGTTCTACAGGTTGAGACTTCTGAGACTACGAGTCTGTGATAAACATAGACATTTGGAGTCCCAAGCCTGTCAGCCCAGTACCGAACTCCAGTACCAAGGCCATGATCTATCTATCTGGCTGACTGGTGATGACCACAATGTTAGCGTTGCGACGTGCATGAACGACCTGAAACTGGGCGATTATCTGCTTCCTTTTACTCTACTTTTCCCCTCCTTGACAAGCCATTCAAGTGTTGGCAGCCAACCAGAGGAACGGGCGCACTTCATTTTGTTCCAACATGTTTCTCTCAAGCGAGCTATTCGGGATTCACCCGGGGGTCCATCCCTGCCGTCAACAACCAGGGTTTTCAATCTTCGTCCCAACTTTGAGTCGCCCATTCGGCTCCCACTTGCACAAACCCCGGGAAACCCATGGCCCAAGAAGGTTGTTTGGGTTAGCCGCGCCGCTGCAGGGGGCCACGGCGCGATCCACCATCACCCTGTTTGTCCGTTTCATATCCGCACCCTCACTTTAATCGCAACGGCTTCATTAATGAAATCAACCACGCCCTACCCTCGGCTGCCGCCGATTAGCATGGATCTGACAGACGCCAAAGACTGGTTAGCCCACCAGATGGCTCCATCAGCCTCATCTCCTTCAGAGAGTCCTGCAGCTTTCCTGCAGCCTTGGCAGGGGAAGCGGATGAGACGACTGTCTCCATCGCAGCGCTGGCGCCCTTCCTCTCTAGGGCGTCCCCATACCCTCCACGAGTCCACATTGCACTTTACTGTGAACTGGAGGCGCTGGATGTGCTGTTCGACCCTCAGGGAGTCAGGGGCCCTGGCAAGTCTGGGCACTGACGGAATCGCCAGCTCTAGCCGCGCGATGGGGAGGAGTCCAGATGTGCCCCTACACATTGGTTGCCTATGTCGACTTAGTGCGGTGAGATGGGTCTGCCACCGGAGATGGGCTTGGATGATTCGAGATTGAGAAGCAAGAGGGGGAGGGACGGTAGAGATGGGCTATGGACGTAGGAGATGTAGCCCAGAAGGGAAAGGGGTTCCGTTGACTTACACACACAACCTCATCAACGCGTTATAAAAGTCTTCCATCCCACGCATCTACGTCGTTCCCGTCTCTCTCTTTTCTCCATCATCACAACTGGTGTCATTCTCTCATTCCTTGTACTCAGGTCTCTCTCTTGTTGGCTGTGCCATACACTCATTTCGAACTAGACGTTCAACCACGCTCACTAAGCACAACCTCGCAAATCAACTTTCACTTCTTCACTCCAACTCTACACCTTTTTGAGACTTTCGTCAAGAAACCAAAACAACCGTCAAGATGCGCTTCTCTTACACCGCCGCTGCTCTTGCTGCCCTCACCGGCCAGGCTGCCGCCCACGCCCGTGTCTACGCCCTCTGGTCCGACGGCGCCGAGATCCAGGTCGACGGCAAGTCCGGCCTCGAGTCCTTCATCCGCAGCCCCCCCAACAACAACCCCGTCAAGGACATCACCTCCAAGGACATTGTCTGCAACGCCGACCCCTCCGCCAAGACTGGCTTCGCCCCCGTCGAGGCTGGCAAGTCCGTCGTCTTCGAGTGGTACCACAACACCCGCGGCGACGACATCATCGACGGCTCCCACAAGGGTCCCCTCAGCACCTACATTGCCGAGTACACCGAGGGTGACGGCACTGGCGCCATCTGGACCAAGATCGCTGAGGAGAAGTACGCCAACGGCAAGTGGCCCGTCGACACCCTCATCGCCAACAAGGGCAAGTCCGGCGAGGTCACCATCCCCGCCTCCCTGAAGCCCGGCAAGTACCTCCTCCGCCACGAGATCATCGCTCTCCACGAGTCCGACACCACCTACGACACCAACTCGGCCCGTGGTGCCCAGTTCTACCCCTCTTGCGTTCAGATCGAGGTCTCTGGATCCGGCTCCGACGTTCCCCCCGAGAACTTCGACTTCCAGACCGGCTACAAGTACACCGACAGCGGCATCCACTTCAACCTCTACAACGACGACGCCTCCAGCTACAAGGCCCCCGGCCCTGAGGTCTGGACCGGCGGCGCCGGCTCCGGCTCTGGCTCTACCCCCGCCACCAGCGCTGCTCCCGCTGCCACCTCCAAGGCCGCCGCCACCTCTGCTGCTGCTGCCCCCACCACCCTGGCTACCCAGGTCAGCTCTGCTGCTCCCGCCACCTCTGCCCCGGCCGCTACCTCTGCTCCCGCTGCCACCCCCTCCAAGGCCCCCTCCACCGGCTGCAAGCGCCGCCGCGCTGCCCGCAAGGCTCGCCGCTCTGCTCACTAAGCGCTTGACGCTGATGAGAGAAGAGATGGGAGTTGTTGTTGAGAGTAATTAGAGTAAGCAGTTCTCAGAGTGCCTTTGGGTCTCATGAGCTGTGGGAAGGAGTTTCACTTTTACACCAGACACCAGATGTGCAATCCAGGCTTACTGCGTCCTGCCCGGTGCACGGTATCCGAGTCTCGAGTTCAGCTTTGAACTCGGTTCTCAATTCTGCATTCCTGTACATAGTACCTTGTATAGCATTAAGCCTGCATATACCATGATTTAAGCGCTCCAATCGTGATCCCAAACGTGATTTCTGAAGTGTACTTGATGTTTGCGTGGCTGTGACTATGCTTTGGCAACAGGGCAAATGTGGTAAACCTGTT